CCCACCATCGTAAACAATTACAAATATTTTGGTCTTTAATTTAAAAATCACACACAAACCGCAAAACAACTTTTAATGTCACCGCGAATGTTTGTCACCAGTAAATGGCGTTGACTCCAATTTTGGCTTCACTACACGAATACGGCTAGTAAAGGATGTTACGCGTCCCCTCTCTTTCCTTGTCTAAGAGTTCAACTACCGATGGTGGCGCTGCGAAACGTCATATTACTCGTTGCCGATGACAGTTGAGACTTGTCAATTTATTGGACTTGATGACAATACTTACACACTTTTTGGTCTGTTTCTATTTCTGTAAAACCTTGCAAAAGTTGATTAGAACTCAACAAAACCAATCGCAATCAGATGTAATCGTCAATGTCGACAAACCAGTGTCAAATTACTACTTAACTTGTAGTTATAATTTTAGCCACCAGAAGACGTATCGACTTTTGAACTTGCAAATTAGAGCCAGCACGTATATTTCTAAAGTATATAGGAACCAAGGTGTCCTCATGAATGAATCTCTAGTACGGTAATCGTGCTTCAAATACGGTATTCATAGAACAAGACGGTATTTTCAAATGGCTTTTACGGTAATACGCGTTTGAAAAGTTGGCCACCCTGCTAGGACCCTTGAGCCAACACCATCTCGAGAAGACGACTCTTACCACCCGGAAGCAAGTCAGAGAGCGTCCGCGAAAGAAGCAGAAAATTGGAAAAATAATAATACTTTATTCGCTGCAATAAAAAACATGAAAAACAACGCTAAAATTAGATAGGTACATTAACATTTCAAAACAAGTTGAGTTAAATTTGAAGACACGCCACTCAACACTCAATGAGACCAGATAACAAATACATGCGAGCAACTGTGCCAAATAGTGTCCGATTCTATGAAATGTAAATCCCGAAAAATTCCAATCAAACAAATCACAGATACCTTAATAGCTTTGATGCTGGTCGTTCCGCAAAGGACAAATCAAGTCTCTGGCATTCGAAAGCGCAGTTGTTGCGCTCGGTGTCCATTTTTAGCGCATTATATAAATGTGCCTGCAACATAAACAATAACAGTAACCACCAGGTCTACCGGTTTTTCGGTAGATCTACCGATTTGTCAAGGAACCTAACGATCTACCGATACCATGCAGATTTCTACCGAAAAGTTACAAATAAAAGTTAAAAACAATTCCGTGGATTACTTAAAATAATATAACATATTTCCATTCATGATCAAAGTACGTTGGTAATAGCAGACATGTTATTTTAGCACATCCCGTATATTAGAGTTCTTTTTCAAACATAAAATGTATGAAGCCCGCCATATAGATCATAAATATGATAAAATTATGTTTTATGGATTCTGCAATAGTGAGATCAGGTTCCCTACAATTTATTTCTGACGTTGCAATGATATTCCCAAATTTAATAAATGATAGTGAATTACAAGGTCTGGACACATCCAGACTGTCTGTTGCGAAATGTTGAAATAAAAAAAAATTTAGAAATATTGAAGAGTTCTGGAGCCAAGTACAAATATTGAAATATGGAGCTGATACATTCATGTTTCCAATTTTAACCAATTTTATTTGTAACCTGCTTATTCTACCTCACTCATCAGCCAAGTTGAACGGATATTTTCACAGGTTAATCTAATGAAAATTTAGTTGAGAAATAAGCTAAAAACGAGTACAATTTCATCTATACTTCTTTACTGACTAATGTTTATTTTAGTCTTGCGAATTTTAGTATGCAAAAAACGCGCGATTTTTTGGGGCTCTTTTTTTTGTGGTGAGGTTTTGGACCACCCAACCAGCTCTAGGTGTGCGTAACAGAGAATTTCCAAATTCTCACCAGATGGAGCCCTTAATAATGAAAGAAAAATGAGTCTACCGATTTTCTACCGAAAAGTGTCGAGCTTTTCTGAGCTGAACTGATCAGCAGTGCATTTGCGGCTCATTGTCGCCTACCTGTATGTTCAGCACATTCTTGACTCTGGCGTTAGCTTCCAGCTTTTTGAAGTCGTTCTTGACCGTCTCTAGATCGTTGACTGCTTGCAACAATGTTTTGCGGTAGCTTTCTTCTTGGGATTTATCGGAGTTTAGGATCTTGATCCTGATGTAGAGTTGATTGGCTCGGGCACGATCGTAGAGACTCCCATTGCCCATAATTTCGGTCATGCACTTCCGCTGCTTCAGGTTTCTGAGCGCCTGAGTTTGCATAGCTGCAAAACAACCTATCACAAACTGTTCGACCAACAATTTCCTAAATGTTTACATTGTGCCAGAAATGAGTGGGAAATGTGCAAATGGATTAGTGCAATCAAGTATGCCAGTCCCGACGTTGTCGCCTCCATTAAACAGGTCTCCAAGAGAGTCTCCGCAACCCCTACTGCTGAAGAGTTGCTCGTATAATAGATTTCGGCCTGGAGAAGTTTGGCACGGAGTAGGCAATACTTGCCGTCGTTCAAGTGTTCGTCCCGATTGTAATGCTGAAAAGCCGTTTCGTAGAACCAGCCGGATCGGGAGTACCGATAAATGAAAATTTACCTTTAAAATAACGCCGACGATGGCATGGGCTCGAGTGAATTCGCCTCGATACAAGTTGACTTCGGCCATTTTTAAAAGGCCCTCCCATTTGTCCAACACTTTTATCTTCTGAGCAACTTCCTCTGCCACACTATACCTTTGGTGGTAGAGAGCGAGGGTGTAATGCGACCAATTCTCGACTAACATCCAGTTTCTAGCAAGCGGCTCGTGCGGGTATTTGGTCTTCATATACTGGAGAATTGTATTTGTGAGAGCATATTCGCCCTAGAATAAACCAGTGAATTGCTTACAGATTACGAGAACGTTGGCACAGTAAATAAAACGCTG